AAGACATAAAATACACAGCTAAGAATGCGCACTCTTTCTATGGGAGTTCATGACTAAAAAATACCCAGTGCACCTTGGCTGACTCTGCAAGACAAACATATATTATTTTTAATTCTTAAAGTGACGAGAACATACACTAATAATGCAATTTTTTAGTATATAAAAACATCTAAAGAAAAGAATTTAAAATTAAATCTTTCCAAAGAATATTTTTGTATAGATTATTTTATAATTAAAATATTTAATTTTACTATGCAAAAATTAAGGTTTTCACTTCTGAATCGTAAAATTTCTAATTGACGAAAGACTAATATACCATTTGCAAAACTATAATTCTTCGCTTGCCACCCAGTTTTAGTCTATTCTACACATTGATTTATGATTACAGGGTATTTAAGGCATGCAGCAGTGAATGCTGTCGCAAGTACTGAACGTTTAGTTGCAAATTTTAACAAGAGGCTGCCAATGATTAATGTCAATAAAACGCAAACTCAGCTTGAAAATGCTAGAAGTCATCTTGAGAGTAGGAAGCGTTGGCTTAGCCAACATTTGGGTCATGAACCTGCACGTACTCAGCCTGTACACAGAATCGAGGACACCGAGCTGCTCCTCGAGCGTCGTGTGGGTGCAATGGTTCAATTGGTGTCAGACTTGGTCAATGGCGGCGAAACAGGCCGGCTGGGAAACACGATAAATTGTTAATGACCGGGATGCTGATGATGATTGGCAGCGATTTGTTCTCGTTGTTGCTTGTCGAGGGAAAATCTCTGGCACGCCTACACGCCTACACGTACCGCACATTAGCTGGGCGCTTTAATGAGGCATTTAAAAGCGCATTGCTTGCACCTGTTGAGCTCCGGCAGTGACCAGCAACAAGAGCCATGTCAGTTGACAAATGCATTGACATGTCACGCGCGGAATGTCCAGCGGTTGTCGTCGGCCATGCGGCGCCTGGCATCTGGATACACAGCAAATAATGCATTGGAATTTCGAAAATTTTACAAATGAATAGATCAAAATGTTAAATGAATTTTGTAATTCATGTACGACTTGCCCGGGAAAAGATTTTGAACAACTTGTTGCAGGGTTTGAAGCAGCGTCTATTTGGTTTAATCCCAAAGATATGCACTGTGTCTATAAGTATATATGTAATTGCAAATGCACATTAGGTAAATGCCCCGTCACCTGGGCTGGGGTTCCATGCACAACCAGCGGCGTCAGGCGCTTGAGATGGAAAATTCCAGACTGACGCAGCGACTGTGCCGTGACAGGAAAAACCTTTGGCTGTGAAAAGTGTATGAGGCATGCGACACAGCGACTTAAAAGTGCGCGCAATTGTCAACTCGCAGGCAATTTGGCACATTCCTGGCCGCTTCAGTGTTAAACTGGGACGCACAGCTTAAATTCTTGACGAATGCAATTTAGTTAACGGCTATGCTATATTTAAGCCATATTTGGCGGGATTCTGTCAAATGCTTAAGAATGCAGCGCGCGCTTGAGTGACGGCCGTCAATCAAGCATCCTAAGTTGAAGTGTTGACGCATTGTCAAATTATGTTTGGATATGAAAGCAATGCAATTAGCTGCACATGAAACTCGCAGAGAGTGCAATTTACAATGTTCATTTGCTCCATAATGTACTTACATACATACACACTGATGGGGGCAAGCAGCTCTGGCGTTGCCAGATAGACGTTGATGAGCATCTAAGCGATAGTATCGATGCTTGCTCTTTTTGTTCGATAACATGCCTTCGATTGTAAACAAACGCACTGCAACATCACTATCGAATAGTTGCAAAGTGAAGTGAAAATTGTGGAAAGAAAAATTAAAGAAAACTTTCTGGAGGATGGCCTCGCTAGAACCAACGCAAAATAAAACATGGGATCTGTCGCTGTACGAGCTGCAGCGCAAGCCGCAAGAAATAATAACAGATAGCACAGAAATTGCCGTCTCACCGCGCAGTTTGCACAGCGAGTTAATGTGCCCCATTTGCCTGGACATGCTGAAGAAAACAATGACGACCAAAGAGTGTTTGCATCGCTTCTGCTCGGACTGCATTGTGACCGCACTGCGTTCGGGTAACAAGGAGTGTCCCACTTGCCGCAAGAAGCTCGTCTCGAAACGCTCGCTGCGCGCTGATCCCAACTTTGATTTGCTCATCTCAAAAATCTATCCCAGCCGCGAGGAATACGAGGCCTCCCAAGAGAAAATAATGGCCAAATTCAATCCAACACAATCACAAAAAGCGCTTGTCAACTCCATCAACGAGGGCATCAAACTACAGTCACAAAATCGGCCGCAACGTTTTCGCACCAACAAGGGTGGCGGCGGTGGGCCTGCTGGTGGTGGTGGCGGTGGCGGTGGGGGTAATAATAGTGGCGGTGTTGGCGCTGCCAATGCCACTCGTGCCGGAGCTAATGCAGTGCATGCCCATGATACCGCTTCCAATGACAGCAACAGCAATACAAATGGCAATGATCGCGAGCAACGTGATGCGCCTCAAGCAACAGCTGTTGGAGCAACACCTGGACCAACAGCTGCAGCTCCTGCAACGCCAATGACACCCAGCACACCCACGGCTGCAACATCGGCGGGTACTTCGGGCGCCAGCACTTCATCAAGTCGCATGCAAGTGGATGATGCATCGAATCCGCCATCAGTGCGCAGCACCCCATCCCCGGTCCCATCGAATTCGAGCAGTACAAAGCCCAAACGCGCCATGTCTGTGATGACCTCGGAACGCTCCGAAGAATCTGAGTCGGACTCACAAATGGATTGCCGCACCGAAGGCGATTCAAATATCGATACCGAGGGCGAGGGCAACGGCGAGCTGGGTATTAATGATGAGATCGAGCTGGTATTCAAGCCGCATCCCACAGAGATGTCCGCAGATAATCAGCTAATCAGAGCGCTCAAGGACAACTGCATACGGTACATAAAGACAACAGCAAATGCCACCGTGGACCATCTCAGCAAGTATCTAGCGATACGTTTAACTCTGGATTTAGGTGCCGATCTGCCAGAAGCCTGCCGGTTGCTCAACTTTTGCATCTACGTCGCACCGCAGCCACAGCAGTTGGTCATATTGAATGGCAACCAGACGCTGCATCAGGTCAATGATAAATTCTGGAAGGTAAGTCAAACATTTGCCAACTTTTGGGGTAATAACTAAAACTGCATTTAAACCCACTTCGCAGGTTAACAAGCCCATGGAAATGTATTATTCGTGGAAGAAAACATAAAGGGTTCCGTCTCCTAGTTCAAGGCATTTTAGTTTTTAACATTTATTTCCATCATCGAAATATATATGTTTATAGGTTTACCCTTACAATTTATGTGCTTCACAAGAATATATATACATATATAGAAATACAACATATGGACGCGATGCTTGTACGGCTGCAATGTGTACAAAAGTATTTTCAGGAGGAACTTCTATATCTTGTACCAGTCGATCTATAGGAAGAACCAGATTAAAATTGAGTTTGTGTGTGCTTATCAAATCTACCTTGAATAAACCCAACAACAATTCGTTGATAAATCCCTGAGACATCTACAAATATATTTAACCTTGTGCCAAAGCTAGCTGTAATGTTGGAATATTCTCTAAGGATTGCGTCATGTTTATTTTCTGTTTCGGAAGTATTTTAGTGTATGGGCTAAAGTTGCACAAAATGTGTCAGCAATATGAAAATATGGATTATATTTTGCACTTAGCTTTCAATGCGGTAAATGATAAGAAAAATAATGTGGGTGCAGTTTCTTTGATAAAAAAAAAAAAAAACAAAAACCTTTTTTAATTTTGATTTATGTTAGAACGTTTTAACGTACATCTATATACTTATTAACAAGATTGACATATATATAAATATACAACATATATATTCATATGATTTTATTGTAATAATACACATTGTGAGGAACTCTTAAATTAAGTAAATTGTAATTAGGCTACTGTAGCTAAGCGTCACACGGTTTCGTTACAAATATGACTAAATATTTAGATACAATCAAATCGATTGCTGGACATAAAAAGGCGCTGGGTTCAAATTTGTTGAGGCAGAGTGCGTTTAAGAAGAATTCTTAGAATTGTTTACGTCAGTAGGCCAACTGGACCATATTTAATATGAACACAAAAGGCACCATTCTTTGCTTTAGCATGCATCATTTAGGTATTCTACGCATTTTAGCGAGTATAGCGTTTCTGAAGTCCTGAAAATCGCTGCTCGCCTCGATCTCGTTGCGACATTTGCCCTGAATGCGATAGAGGCCCAGCTTTATCTCTGAGGCCTGACCGTTACGTGTGCGTCTGGTCAGATCTTGTTCAAGGTCATAGGCCAAGCCCAAAACGCAGAGTTCATTGATTTCATCCTGCGTAAATGTGCGCTGCTCTTCCTGCAAAAATTCAGCGCATTTCTCATAGATGTCCAGATACTGTTCCGTTTTATTTTTGTCGCTTGCACGCTGAAGCTCCAAATACCGGCGGAGCAGCATGGCCGCGGCACTGTCCAGTAGGGTTTGATGCACACTATTGGTGAGCGTGTAAATACGCTGCACTTCCGCAACGGTCATGTCCGAGCAGCCGCAAAAGCATTTGATCAGCTGCAAGGTTTTGCTCTACGTGCAAATGCCAATAAACATATTATTCGTATTTGTTTACCATTGCAGCGCGCGCCATATGGGTACAAACCTTGTGTGATGAAGACGCTGCCATAATGAAACAGTTTAATTATCAATATATAATAAGCTTTTGTGTGCTGATGACGTTATCTGCTCCATGGATTTCCTCCGGCTGACTAGGCTGCCATCGAGCGAAAAGGTACGGCTGCTTAGTGCACGTAAAAAAGCATGATGAATTCACGACTGTTCGCAGGCCAGATAGAGGTGGCATTTTAACTATAATACTATCGATAACAACGTTTTTTCCAAAATAGAGACTTCACTTAATTTCGATCCAATTTTTGTTAAATCGTTTTTTGTTTTTTTTTTTTTTTGATATTTTGTATTTTTGAAAATCTGATTGATTAAATTATTGATTAAAAGATATACCTAATACTAATGCTTAATTTGCTTCGCAACGTGTTCACTAAACTCTCTTAACTGTGGAAATTGCGAGATCTTGTTGGCACAGTCCTCTTGAATTTGTTTAATAATTATGTTTGAGATAGATCGATCGCCACCAAGAGATGCCTTAAGCTCTTTTCTTATATTATTGGGAATGCCCCTAATGGACAAGTCTGCGAGTTCATCTTCCGTTAGGCGTACTTCTTTCTCCTGCAGCAACGTTTCACATCTATCATGAAGGTCCATGCTGTTTAACAGACGACTATTATTGCCCAATTCGCGTTCCTTGGTGTAATTCCGTATTTGTTCTTTGGCTGGCTGATCTTTCAGCAAGTGATTAACATTTTTCGTTAGCATGTATATTCGTGCAGCTTCGCTAGAATCCATATTATTGAGATCTATAAAAAGAGAATATGGATATAACTTTAAAAACAGATAATTGCTTTTTTTTAAGAGAATACACTCTTATTTGATGTTTCACATTAGATAGATTAAGTTTTTGCACCTGACAAATAACATACACCTGCAAGACTTAGGTTATCTTTCGGTCGCGAGTAAACTACGTGCAGTATTTTTAACAAGAGGTTTCGTAAGTGAAATTGTGACGTCATTTCTTCAACTCGTCAGGCATTGCCGGTGCATTCATTCGTTGGTTTATGCACTACACATTGAATTGACTTTCGACAATATTCCAGTGGTCGGTGATGTACAGACTAGTACTTACGTTTTTGTTTTGTTATTAATACAAATACCTATTTGTATTATTTTTAATTCCATTTATATTTATCCCTGCGAAAGGTATCCGCCGTCAAGCGCCGATGCTCTGATCTGCACTGAACCACTAACCAAACAACATATAGACTAGACATGAGTACCAGAGAGAGCATTGAGAGCTGAGAGTAAGTGCGAGCGAGATAAAAGTTAACAGCGTTGCCGTTCTATCGCACAAATCATATGGAAGAGAGTGCGCCAAGCACTTTCCTGTAGAGTAAGCGGTTCAAAAATACATCATATGTATATCTTACTCCCTTACTCGCGAGTTTGGACCAGATGCCTCCGATACTTTTTGTGACAACGCTGTTTGTATGGGATGTCCAGTCTATATGTTGTTTGGTTAGGGATTGTATTTAATAGTATGGAGTCTTTATTCAATAGAGTTTGCTTTTTATAAATGATTTAATTTATGATCTACAACTTAGACTTGAGTGCCTTCATGAGCTTCTCCAGCTTGAGAGCCTTTTGAAAATCGCCGCTAATCTTCAACTTTCCGGACATGTAGGCTGGCGCCGCCTTTAGTTTGCCAGAGAACATGTCAAAGAAGTTGTTGGAATTCATGGTGAGCGTTGCGTCTGGAGTAGCTGGTGGTTCGCCAGTGCCGCAGGCGCCAGTGCCATTTTTCAAGTCTAGAAACCAAGTGCCCTGTTTGGCGCCGCTGATGTTGAACTGGAAGACGGCCTGCGTCTTGGAGACGATTTCAGCTGAAAGCAAAGATTCGATTTTCTTAAAGAGCTGCGGTATTTTATCATCGCCAGAGTCAGCTGCAGGCGCCGCTGCACCGTCAGCAGGCGCATTCTTGGGCTCCAAAAAGAAGTCATCCATCAGCTTGTCGGCATTTTCGCGTACGCAGGCGTAGTCGGTGAGATCCTTAACGCCCACAGATTCTAGCACCTCATCGTCAACGAAGAACTCGCCGGTGAACTGTTTGGGTTCTCTGGTTAGTATGGCATAGGCCGCATCGGCCATGATCTCCGGTTTACGTGACCAGCTGGCACTATCGGGGCCAGTCAGCATCTCAATGGCAGCCGTATGGATGGCAGTGCGCGGCCAAAGGGCATTCACGGCAATGCCGCGATCCCGGAACTCCGCCGCCATGCCCAGCACGCACATGGACATGCCGTACTTGGCCATCGTGTAAGCCACGTGCGGTGCAAACCATTTTGCCTTCATGCTGAGCGGAGGCGATATGTTCAAAATGTGAGCGTGATTGCTCTTCTCCAAATACGGAAGGCACTCCTTGGAGACAAGGAATGTGCCGCGCGTATTGATCTGATGCATTAGGTCGTAGCGCTTCATGTCGGTGTCGGGGGTGCTGGTCAGTGAAATGGCACTCGCATTGTTCACAACAATATCGATGCCACCGAATTTGGCCACTGCCTCCTGAATGGCTGTTCGCACCTGCTTTTCATCACGAACATCCACAATGCAAGGATGCGCCCGTCCGCCAGCCTTTTCGATCTCCTCGGCGGCTGTGTAAATTGTGCCCGGCAGCTTGGGATGCGGATCTGCTGTCTTAGCGGCAACCACAATGTTGGCACCATCGCGAGCTGCCTTCAGCGCGATTGCCTTGCCAATTCCCCTGGATGCTCCCGTAATGAACAGTGTGCGTCCTGCTAATTTTCCAGAATTAATCATTTTGTGGTCCAAAGTTTAAACCGCTCGATCTGAAGAGTCTGAACTATCTGAACTGAAAACAGTTTGAATTACAATCAACATTAAAGAGAAAGTCCAAAGTGCAATCAGATCGACCAGCTAACATATTCACAGTGGAGAGAGCCAAAGAGTTCGGCATAAGGCAACTTTTAGATGCTCTGTAACTGAACAAACAAGGGGACAAGAGTACAAATTGTCCTGTACACTTGTTAATAAAAGCTGTAAGCCATAAGCAACTTGTGTTTTATATCTTCTCATCGTAAACATGACTAATTTGTATAATATTTTAATAAAATACAGAAAATTCAATTGCCAGCGTTGCCACCTAGCTATTTTGTGTGAATGGCGTAGTGACAGTGAATGCTACGGGCAAGAAGCAGAATGCCAGTGAATTTATTTGTTTACAGTTGAAAAGTTTGTAAAAATAAAATAAAACAATTGATTTATAATAAATGGCTGCCACGCGCTCGCGTCGCCACAATGCTGGCAACAAAATAGCAAAATTGCTCGATGAAGAGGAGGACGATTTTTATAAAACTTCATATGGCGGCTTTCAGGACGAAGAAGGCGACAAGGAATATGTGTAAGTACTGTGTCTAGCCGGACGCTGCCAAAAGAAATTTATTTAAAGGTATTTCGCTTCCAAAGACAAAAAGACGAAGAAGAGGATGTCGTGGATTCAGATTTCAGCATAGATGAACAGGATGAGCCCGTATCTGACCAAGAGGATGCGCCCGACAAAAAACGCAAACGCGGTGGCGTCAACACCAAGGCGTATAAGGCAAGTTGTGCTACACCTACTAAATAATGCAACCAAATATAACATTTACTCAATAGGAACCGGCTAAACCAGCTATCAAGAAGGAAACAAAAGCCGTGCCTGCTCTGCACAAAAAGCGTGGCGGTGGGGGCGTGGTCAAGCGCAGGGTGCGCCCTCGATTCACAGTCTTGGACTCGGGTCGGAAATCCATACGCACCTCTACAGCCATCAAAACACAGGCCACAAAAATACGGCTCAAGGAACTGGACGATGCACGTAAACGCAAGAAGAAAAAGATACGCGTAGAGGATTATATGCCCACGCAGGAGGAGCTGCTTGAGGAGGCAAAGATAACCGAGGAGGAGAACATCAAATCACTGGGTTAGTTAACAAATCAGTGCGCCTGAATGTAATTAAAATTGTTTTTTATTAACGATTACAGAGAAATTCCAGAAAATGGAGCTCGAGAAAAAGAAAACGCGTCCTACCAAGCGAGTTTTCACGGGGCCAACTATACGCTATCATTCATTGACCATGCCGGTCATACGTAATATGCCTACACGCAACACCACCATCCAACCAAATGATCCGAACAGTGCACTTGGCAAATGCGAGCGTACTTTTGTAACCATTGAGAATGATTTCAATGATAAGGCTTTCCATGCGATTTTCCGCCCGAAACGCCCGCCAAAGACCTCAAGCGGCATTTGCCCCATAACCAGACTGCCAGCTCGCTACTTTGATCCAGTTACCCAACAGCCCTACTACAGCATTCAGGCCTTCAAGATACTGCGCGAGGCCTACTACATGCAGCTGGAACAGCAGTGCAGCAACAGCGAACAGCCCGAGTTGGCCAAGTGGATGGAGTGGCGTAAGCTGGTCAAGGAGAATCGCCAAAAGGCGGCTACAGCGGTAAAAAATGTTAATGTCAATTGAAAACATATAACTTTTTACCAGCTGTTCATATTATAAGTTAAAAAATCAAGCAGTAAAAAGGTATTCCTAATAGAGGTCCACCATGACCTTTATTTGGAAAATTGTGTGAATCTTAAAAAAGAAAAGTTTTCCATATTATATTTGGACTGTTTCTACTATTAGAGCTGCATGCTTTAATATTATGATATTAACAAGATTCGCTCGTATGTTTTTTTAAGTTACCAACCATGTAAAACGCGAAAATTTCTTATGCACAAACTTAATTTTTAAATAATACTATCGGATGGTTTCAATACATGTTCTGATTGCAACAGAAAGTTGGACAGAAAGTTGACAGTTGGTCATAACCTTGGGTATGTCTACTAATCTAAAGGCAGAAGTTGTAGGCTTTCCTGGGCCGAAATTAGAAACAGATTCCATTTTGATGAGACTAATCGAAATATTTATACTCTAAGAGGTCGGAGATGTCTTATGGCATATGAATGCCATGGTAATGTTGTTTAAATATGGAAAAAAAAATATATATATATATATAATGCTAGACATTTATCCAGTATAATTTAAAGTGCATACTTTAAAGAATCTACCGCTTCGAATCGACTCGGTTATCGATGCTGATCCAGAATATACATACTTGATGTGGTTGGAGATGCATCCTTAAATTTATCCCTGAAAGCGAATAGCTGAATTGTAAGAATAATAAGAGCTACTGAGCAAAAAGTGAAGTATAACTTGGAGAGTCTGGTCATGGCTGGATCGACTCGACCGTTCGGAGATGCTTCCTTCAGCCTGTTACATAGATTTGCATAAATACATAATACAATTTTTCTAATCTTTATTGGGTTCAGGGTATAAAGAATAGAAAAACGATTTATGCTTTTAAAATTTAAAGTGAATACTTTAAAGAATCTGACCTTTTTCTTAGACCTTTTTTTTAGAGGAGAACCTAAAATATTCCCATTTTCTGTCAAGTAATTTTTTACTAGCAAACTTTAAAAACCTTTGTTTAAATGAAGGAAAAACTTCAAGGTTGTGAACCGCTACCAATTTAATTTATTTATTTCCTAATTCAACTACACACAAGCATACTGAAAAACAACTAATCTTAAGTATAAAAAACTTAACAATAACTTTTTTTTATTTTTCTACGAATTGTTAAGGCTAGCTAAAATATCTGTGGTTAATTTAGTGTTACGTTCAGGCTGTCCTAAAGCTCGTAGGCTCGGTCGCCGTTCTGTGATTGTTAAATAAGCGTGTCCTCGTCCTGACCCTCGAATACCATCAGCAGCGAGTGCTGCGAGGGCGAGCGGCCCAGTGTGAGCCCACCGAGCGAGCCGTCCGGAGAGAGCAGACCCGTCTGCAGGCTGTTGTTATCTCGATAGCCAGATGTGGATGATGTTTGTGAGACCGAGTCCCAGGATATTTCGCCAATGGCCTTAGGTTGATGCTCCTCCTGTGAGAGTGACGTGACCTGGGGATTTTGATTTGGATTAGCTGAAAGCCGATCAAGAAGTCAATTGTCAAATTGCTTACAATGCTGGGCGGCTCTATGGGCGTCAGGCGACTGCGCTTGAGCCGAAACGTTTTGCGACTGGCTGCCTTTGAGCGTTGCAGGCGCGAGCGTGTGTGATCGCCTGAACTATCTTCGGCGGGGCTCTCAGGTGAGAGTGGCGTCGTTGAGGTCTCGCCGGAGGAGTGTCGGAATTCCACAGATGAAACGAAACGCAATTTGGGAGGCTGTGCCTTGAACGGCGCCTGCTGCAGCGACTGCGAGTGCGGCAGCGGTGAGACGGCGGTCATGCCATGTCCCGAACCGCTGGGTCCGCAGCTAGGTGTTTGACCCACTAGCGTAGGCGCTGAGCCCGCAGCGCCCTCGCCGCTCTGGCTGTCACTGGTCGTGGTATGTGGATCACGGTTCGTGGAGCTGCTGGACAGCGATTCACGTGGTGGATGCAGCGTTTGCTGGGAGAGTGTATCGCTGGGCGTGCATATGCCGCCAGAGCCGCTGCGTGAATCGATGGGCACAGCGGAGACATGCGAATGTGTGGCCTGGCCGGTGGTAGTGCCCGTGAATATGGATATAAGCGAAGGTCTCTGCTGTGACTTGTGCACATCCGCAGCGCTTGTGGCTGCGGGCGTATCGCTTTTCTTCTGCTCGGAGCTCTCGCGATCTGTGGAGGCTGACTTGGTATAAGGTCAAGTAAACGTATAAAATTGTTTTGGGTTACCATAGCGTTTGTCCTCCAGTTCGTCGCGCAGGTCGCGCAGCTCGCGGGCCAGCTCAAGCAGTAACGCACCCTTCGACTTCATCCCGCCCTGCGGCGGAGTGCCCCGCAGACGTTCTCTAATTATGAACTGCATATGCCGCTCGTGATCGCCAATGGGTGGTTGCGATATCTGTGAGCGAAATATATACACTTTCAATTATAATTATAATTCTTAATCTAGTTCATACCTTGTGCAATATGAAGGGCAGCAGGACGATGTAGAGCGGCGTGCGGTGTGTGACTACGAATTCCATGAAGCTCCAAAGATCCGGCGCCGCCTCGTTGCGCCTGCCTAGGTCACGCATGACGCGCACAATACGTGGCCATTCGCTGGATAGGCGATTTTCAAAGCAGATGCAAACGATGCGCAATGCGAGGAACGCGGCCTGATAGAGTGAGCCCGAGATGCGAGCCGGACGCTTGGCATCTCGGCTGCCCGTAAAGGTCAAGGAGCCGGCGCGCAAATCTCCAGTGACACGATTGATTTGGGATACCACCTGGCCGGTGCGGCCAGCCGGCGGACTCATGGCATTCAGAACGGCGGTGAGCAGAAAAGAGACATCGCTCATCTTTAGCTCGCCCACATCAGAGACGCCACGACCGGAGCAGACTTTCAAGCACAGTGGCATGATCAGATGCATTAGAAATCCTTCGGCCTTTTCCTGCGTGGCAAACTCGGCGCTGCCGCCGCAGATTTGGACCAGCGAGAAACAGTCAACGGGACTGACCACCTGTAGCGCCACCAGGCGCACCACCGCCGAGCAGAAAAAGGCCGGCGGATTCTGAGACATGAGCGCTGCACCTGCGCTGGACACACCCTCGGGTATGCCGCCGCTGCCCGGCTCATTGACAATCAGATTCTGCACGGTTGAGATCAGAGTCTTCATCTGCTGCCAGTGCAGGACATAAGGATGCCTAATGATTGTCTCGTGTATACCCTTGAGTAGTCCGGCGGCCGCCTCCCAGTCCGTATTGCGGCGTATCGAGGGCTTCTTGGATATCTTAAGAAACACCTTGTCGATACGGCGAAGCACCGTTACTAAAGCATTCCGGAGTGTATCATTTGACCACTCGGCCCGCGGCAGCACCGACTGCATGTACCGCTGCAGGCCACGACAGGCCATGGACTCAGGATCGTAGGGTGACACCTTCAGCAGCGAATGCGCAATATCCGCCAAGCGTATGTGACATTTGGCGTCCAGCACCTCTGTGGGCTTGCTATCGTTCGCCGGCAGCTTCTTGGCCAGCTCGAATAGCCGTGTGGTGGACTTGATTAGAAAATCAGCGACAACGGAGAGCAGAACATCCCTGGGACGTCGGTACTCGGTGCGTATCATTTCCGAATCCTCGGCAGAGTCCATCATGTTTTTAGTTCGCGGATCTGTTGCATATTTCGTATGCGATTCCTCCTCAAAGTCCATGCCCGGCGAGCAGGGCGGTCCGCGACTGCAGTTGCGCTGCGACGAACCCTTATGCTCCGGACTGTTGCGATAGGGCCCATTGTAGCTCTTGGCCAGGCCCTCGCAGTTATGCACCATGGTGCGTATGGCTACAGCCAGTTGGAGTATTATATCCCGTTCGGATTTTCCCTGCAGTGGTATATAGCTGGGAGATTGGATCTGCTGTAGATAACAGGGCAGTATTGCCTCCAAAATGATCTGATGAAAATGAAGAATCAATTCAGAATTTATTCTTTACGTGAAGTAAAAAGTATACTTACCAGCATTTGGTAGCCACGCGTGCTCTCTGCCGAGTATGAGACGACCATTACGCACAGAGTGATGCAGTCCAGCACGGTGACATCGTCGTCCTCGTCGTGATAACAAAAGTCAATGGCTTTAAGGGGCTTTGGTTCCTTGACCAGTTCGGCTATATTCAACGGATCTGGTGAGGGATCCTCAAGGCTGAGCAGCAGATTGAACAAGCAGCTGGATTGGACCTTATGTGCCTCGCCATAGGTGCCATCCTCATCCGTGTCTAGTATAGCCGAAACGGAGCCAAACATCTGCAGGATGAAGGGCTTCCGATTGAGAAGATAGAACTGTTTTACGGCGTACTCGATGGTAGTGGTGATTAGCTTGTTGGTCTGATGGAGGGAGTACACCTGAAGCAAAGTGGGCATGATCATGAAATAGCCATTCGTGGAGAATATGTTCTTAAAGTTGAAGGCAGCATTGATGAATGTAGCCATCACATAGCGCATGATGCATGAGTCCTCAGCATGCAGTATGGATGCGCCGGAGAGCACGTTTAGGAACAGCTGTATGTCCGCCGAGTAGGCAAAGTTGCCAGCCATGGCCTCAAACATGCGGGCTATCAAACGCACCCACATGAACTTGTGCAGCACGTCCAGGCCGAGCAGCACCTTGCCATATTCGCCACCATGATGCAGATCTAGATCCACTTCGAGCGCCTTGCGCGGAAACGACGGCAACTTCATTAGCTCCTCGTGCAGAAAAACAACTCGCTGGACAACCATGTCCACATTTTTGAGTATAGCCCAGGTTAAATGCACCTTGCCAATTTCGACAAATTTTTTCGTTAGCTCCTGTTTTTGCAGTGCCAGAAAGGACTCCTCCGGGCGCATAAGCATTAAACGCACCTCTGGATACTGTGAGCGCTTGAAGAAGTAAAGATCCCGTATATACCAGTTGGGATTGAGTATTTTGTCTGCAACGAACCAGCGAGATAAAGCACAACTCTATGCGGTTTTTGGTATGGTCTACTTACTGCTTTTGTAGTCGACCAGGCAGTAATGCGTAATGCTTTTCTCATCGATGGGATAATAGTCTAAAGCTTCCTTCAGCAGTTGGCAGAATAGCGTGTCCTCCTGCACAGGAAACTGCGAGGGTATATTGTAGTCATCATCCGCCGGGCCGTGCACCACAATCTTTTTGGCGGCAGGCACATTGGCTGTGAGCAGAATGGATGCATCGCACTGCTCCTTGCGCAATATTTGCTTCAGATCCTTGAACATGATGCCATGCACCGAGTGCACCACCATCCACAGAACGGATAAAGCAGAGCCCACCAGCTGGAAAACAAAGGGATTAATAAGCGCAAGTACATTAAGGGCTTAGTTTTGGGGCATACCTCCTGTTTGAGCTCATTGGAGGAGCGCACATAGAACATTATATAGCCAATGATGGAGTTGTAGAGGGCAAATGCGGCCTGTTGCGGCAGGCGCGGCACGAAGCGTATTAAATGTCGCAACAGCTTGAACATCTGATCCTGGCGATCGCGTGTGAGGCGCTCGAACACATAGCGCAAGAACAAGGCTGACTCCTCAACCAGGCATACCCAGATTACCTGATAGGCCACCTCGTAAACGGCATTGCCATCGGAGCCAATGGCTGCATCATCCAGACAGCCCACAATCTGCATTACAGAGGAGCACAGCACAGATGGAAACAGCGAGTGGGCGTGATGTAGGTGCGAAGAGGCACGTGTGCCATCCAGATCCTCCTCTATTTCATGATCCTCATGCTCCATGCCTGGCTCATGAGACGCCTGCTGGCTGATGGGTATCATGGTGATGAGAAAGCTGTGCCTCTCCGCGCGCTGTTTGTCACGCTGCTGGCGAAGAGCATTCCGAATCGCTTCCGTTTGTTGCATTTTGCGGCTCTTCGTGGCGGTCACCAGCGAACGCTATGCGGATTGCAATTGGTTAGAATTGTGCATGAATACATGGCAATCAAATGTGTGCACTCACATGTCTGTCCTGGTTGAGTGTCATATCCATATCCTTGGTCTGCTGGACGGGCATCCAGGGCGGATCCACAACGGGCAGACTCTCGATGCCTATTTTGGGCGAGGGCAGCGTAAACTCTATGCCTCCTGGTGGCACCTTAAAGGTAGCATCGTGCGCATTGTCCTCCATGCGTGGCCAGACATGAAAGCGGCATTTCCAAAGCACAAGATAGCGCTGAATCGCACCAATGCGTATATCCGGATTCTTGTGCTTCAGGGCGCGCTGCATAATGTCAAAGGCAAAATTTTGTGCCTTCACCGAGCCCATAAGGAAGACAGCCGCACTGGAGGTGGCTGTGTCGTGGTTGGTCTCCAGAAGCAGCTCCCAAGCGGCTGGCATGGCCTCAATTACCAGCTCCTCGGTGAGCACCACCGCGCCCTTCAGCATGGTGGTCAGCGGAAAGTGGAACAGATTGCGTATGTGAATGCGTATGAACTTCAGTATAGGTGGCTCCTCCTGCAGTTTCTTTTCCTTCTCCTGGCGAAAGGCGCGCGCCAGTTTCTCAGCCATTTCAATGTCCGGATCATCGCTGATGCTGCGCAAAAATATCTTTTTTTTCGAAGGAAATTCCAGCATTAAACTAACTAAAGACTTACCGATCTTTACGGGACAAACTGTCCTTGCGCTTGGACGGAGACGTTTGTGTGGAGCTTTGCTCTGACACTTTGCGGGTCGAACGAGGTCGAGCTGTGCCCTTGCTGGAGCTAATGACAGTGGGCTCCACGTTGGGATGATCCGCATCGAAAGTGAAACCGAATTCCTCACCATAAACCTGCAAAATCCATAGCAAATTATGAGTAGATCGATACGGGTGCAGACTTTTAAGCTCATTTTAATTTTATTATTTACGATTCGAGCATTAATCCGATTTCTTCAAAAAGTAGCCGAGCTCAAACTGAACCATGTTTTGCAACAAAATTTTACCCTAGGTTCAAAACGAGTACGCCCAGTAAACCTCAAGACAGGCAATAATTAAGGCCGTGAACCGAACCACATCCATGTTGGCTTACCTTACGCGTTGCCTTAATCAGCCGGGTGCAGGAGCGCATGTGCCGCTTGTAGCAGAAGGGATGACAGTAGCCCCTGTGAGTGCAGTAGTAATTGTAGCTGGTTAACAGATCAATGACAGCTTTTAGCCAGGGCATGTTCTTGGCCGTGTCGTCGTTCTCATTAGAGTCTGTTGGCGATTCCGGCTGCTGATCATCGCTGAGTATGCCCGGCGATTCCTCGCCCCCACTGATGACGCCTTGCTCGGAGGTATCGCTGCGGTCCGAAAGCGAGGAAACCTTACGCCGCGACTGCATGTTGACTGTATGAGGGGAGAACATGATATATTAAAGATCCCTAGGATTAAGCTGATTTACATACAATCTGTTTCAATATCCTTGCTGTCCTTGGTATTTCGACGCAGCTTGAGCGAGCGACGCTTAAAGGAACCGCCAGTTGTGGTGGCCGTGCCGCGTCGCAGCAGGAACGGACGCACTGTCGAGGCGGTAGGACGACGAGCTGCTAATGAATTTAATTAAAAATAAGTCAATGGCTGTTTAGTCAAGACTCGGCCACAGGGAGACCCGGCCTTGCACCCAGCCCCCAATAGCTGGAGTATTCTAAAACATTAAATATGGTGCCTAGACCTAGACCGTAGTATATCCGATATATACTCAAAAAAAAAAAGAGCTAAGAACTCACCCTCCTCGCCCTCCTTGCCTTCCTTGGTTAGGGTAGTGTTGCTGCTGTTTTCCGATTCGTTGTCCGGCTCGTGCAGGACAAAGGAGATTTTGCGCTCCGTTTGGCCGGCGCCATCGTTGCCCGCTGCTATGGACTGCAGGCTCTGTGCAGAGGTCTGCGAGTGGCCCATGGAGCTGAGCGCCATGGACCAGCGTCTATTGGCCTCACGGTACACCTTCTCCCAGGGTGCGGGCCGGTCGCGGTGCAGCATCTTCGATGTTTTGGGCAGTGTGATATAGGTGTCTCGCAAAAAAGCCGTAATCTCGAAAAGCAGCACGCAGGCAATTAGCTTGAGTGCATGCGGGCAGTCATTGCCATGCGGATTAACAGAGGTCTCGTCCAGAAAATCCTCCTCCTCATCCTGCTGCAGGAGCTCGCGCTGTTTCTCTGGATCCGTTAGACTTGCATTCAACGCCTCGTATTGCAGTCGTTCGGTGAAGAGCAGCTCCTCGAGACGCGCGCCCACCATCTCCGCCCACTGATGAAACATTTTGCCCGCGGCACGCAGCAGAATGTGTGTGCGCCGGGCACTCGTCTGGCTGACCTGTTGCTTCATCTGTGAGGGATTTATGTTGGCGCCTGAGGCACGATAGCCGCCAACATTCTGCTTCATCCAAATGGGCCACTGACCCTTGTTGCACAGATGCACAAAGTGTGCGCACTCCAGCAAAAAGGTGGCACGCGTGATCAACGGCGCTTGGGGCTGTAATTGGAATAGATTGGACATTTAACTTACTGGAATGAAAAGTGGTGTCATACCAAATCCAAGACGGCTGCAATCAGCTGGGGATCTGGAAAGGTGCCTGGCGCACATGTCTCCAGCAGAAAGGATAAGCGGAGCATGCCAACGCGCACCGGCTCAGTAGGCACCAGTTTGCGCTCTTTGAGTATGACCACCTCGGATTCACGCGGGCCGTCGCACATGTCGGACGAGCTGCGTCGACTGTAATCCGCTGTCTCTTCGATGCCGCCCACCTTCTTTTTGCCCTTCACAATTCCGCCGAAACGGTTCAGCCGTCGCTCGACGCGTCGCTTGGCGCGCTGTATGGAACGGCCGATGCCGTCGCTGGAACGACCCCGTTGAATCTTCAGCGAGGCATGCCGCATGAATGTGGAGGATATCTCGGGATTTAGCGAGCCTATCTCCAGGTCAATCGATGACGCCTCTTTGGGCGTGCCTCGAAACCAGCGCACCAAGCCGCTGAGCCGTCCCAGCGAATTGCGTTCTGAGCTGGACGTGGAATCGGAGAGTAGCGCTCGCTCACTGTGCCTTGGTGTCAGGGTGGGTCGGACGCCAGTTGTGCGGCGCCTAAAGTTGCTCAGTGGCGATTGGCTGGTCTTGTAGTGCTCATCGCACGGCTCCGTCTCCAGCAAACTCTGTAAGGAAATGCCGAGCGGATCAGTGCATTGTTAGAAGACTAGAAACAGAACTCACCACGGCGCAGGCAGAGGATGTGCTGCGTTTCTTGAGCAGCAGCCGGCGCTGCGAACGATTGTCGTCATTCTGTACCACTTGCGTAGCATTTGCCTGGGGTATGTGCCTGCAAAATTAAACGCTGTGTAAGAGGTGGTGAGGACTATGGGCTGGCTTTGTTGATCTTACCTTATTACCCTGGTGGTCTGTGCTGTGGGTCCCTTCTTGTGGGGACGCGGCGTCACCGCCAATATGCCGCTGAGTGCCACCAAGCGAAATGGACCACCATGTGCGCCCTTTACATAGGTGACCAGCTGGCGTATGTCGCCATAGAGTGCAACATTCTCCGGCAATTTGAGATCCTTGCTGGCATCGACAAACCGACTGACAAGCTGCTTGAATATGGCGCCAACCACTTGACCCTCGGCGCCGCCGCTCATGCCGCCGCTAAAATTTGTGGAATAGCCGCCCTGACCTGGTACACCGCCAAGATCGGTGTTAACATTTTTATATCCACTCTGACGTTTATGAGCTATTGCATCATACACATATATATATATATATATACAACGTACGAGTATTTGGTATTGGTATTTGGTGGTGGAGGGTCAGTGGCAAGAGGGGTACAACTCAAAAGCATTAGCAAAAATCGTTGCATGCAAGACAAATGCACACGAACGCACACACACAAAGAAATAAAATAATAAAAACCAATATGGATACTAATATTTTCGGGTTATAAATTTAAAATTAAAGCTTGCAATTAGGATTTGGTGCACCATCGGAAATGTTGCAAATTTTGAATTTTTTAACATCCAAGACAAAGCTTATTTAAGACTAGACACAGGCTTTAAGGCGGCACTTACTCAAAGGCGACAGCAACGAACTGGGATCCACGCAGAAAGCCAGAAATGCATGAAAATAATCAATGAGCTCCGGAAGCGGCGACATCCTGACCATCTCCTGGAGATAGCGTTTGGTGCGCTGCCCGGCCTGGCGCAACATACGCGCGATAATCTTCTGGCACTGATTACGCAGAAAATCAGCGGGAGGACCGCGAACACCTGTAAATGGTTCAGTAAAGCAAACATTTCATATTAGGTACAGCATCACTTTCGACGTGTTCGAAAAAAACAGAGCTGTCAGAACGCGTTTCCTGCGATGGTCACACAATTGGGACCTGCTTGGACTCTCATTCATCTGAACATTGAGCTTTCGACCTATGAGAAAGAAGATAGTTGCCGCCCAAAGACGATGATGAGCAAAGCATAAATTGGCAACAAATTTGACTCACTCAAAGCAGTGACAAATGCTTATTCGCCTTAAGATGGAATATTAATAAAACTTCTAAGTGTGCACTGCCCTGGAGTACACGACTCCTGCCGCTTCCTCTTTAAAGTGCTTAAATCAATCCATCAATAAATATGGCATCCAAATGTGTGTAAACACCAAAGCTCTAGACAAAAAGTCTGGAAAAATACCCGTTTATTGAATTTATTCAAAAAGTTAAATATAACTTGGAGAGTTTATATTTTGAATCGAGCAAAATATTTTCATGCAATAGAAATATCCAAGTCAAAGCTCTTTTACTCTTTTCATACCCTTGCAGATGGTATTATAATTTTTTCGTGAAATATGAAACGCATAGAAGAAGACATCTCCGACCCCGTAAATTATATATATTCTTGATCAGTATCAACCGCCGAGTCGATATAGCCATATCCGTCTATCCGTTTTTTCTCGTTAATTTAAATTTTAGTTTAATTCTAGCTCTAGTTTTCTGGCTTATTTATGTGTAAGGCACTTACCATCGTTGCAGCCATGGGGACAGCCCAGCACCTGGAGTGCACGTCGTGTTATGCCCATCGATATCTCATGCGCATGCTCGCCCAGCTTAAGGACGCCCATCTCGATGAGCAGCTCGCAGATATTTAGGCCCGCCTCCAGCACGCGCAGCGAGCAGACCTGGGACGGATCCCGCTTGAACACGCTGCTGACGGCCAGCAGAACGATCTCATAGTCGATGCCGCCATCGCGAGTTATATAGAAGGAGGAGCCTGGCGCCTCCGACTCATCCACGCCCGTATAGTCAATGTGGGAGTCCGTGTGTGAGCGCAGCATGGGTCCGCGAATGCGCGTGGTACTGCTGCCACCACCAGCGCTGCCATTACCACCAGCGCCAGCAATGCTACCACCATTGCTCAGTGCATCCAACTGTGAATCAATTGAGCCCTGACAGAGCAAAGAACCCTTGACTGTGTACTGTAATTCTCTGCTTAGAGTATCCGACTTACCTGTCGCTTCATATAATCCGGCGACGGGGTGGGCGTATGCTCTGTAACGGTGATGATGGGATTGCGTGGATAGAAAGCTGTGGATCGTGGACACGTGGCCTGTGGTGGCCTTGACGCCTTCGGCGGTTCTACGTATCTGTAAAATCTGGCATATTGTAAAATACATGCGAAGATCGTATGTGCAATGCATTAGTCGAAACGGCGTGCAAGAAACTTAAAATAATAAGCAGTTAGAACAAGGAGTTCGGAATAGGGTTTCAAAGGGGAAGTTTCCTCAACTTCATTGTAAATTTAAAATTCACTTTCAAATGCCAGCGCCCAGAATTCTAACTGTCAAATGTTGCAATGCACTTTAGCTTCATTGTAAATATTTGTAATGAGCATATAAAATGCAGCTGGGCGTTACAATTAAGGGGAGCAATAGTTAGGTGAAATTTAATTTACAATGAACATTGTAAAGGGTACCTTAGTTTTGCAAGCAGTAGGTGGATATAGCTAGCAAAGAAAAGTATCGTAGGGTTGGGTAAAGGTGTTCAGGCAAACTGTACGGAGAAAATGTAGTTGCCTAGTAGGTGATATAGTTGGCTTATATAGTAAAGCATAGACGCAGTTGAAACTAAACATTATGAATGAATAGGTTTAAGAATATAGAACTCAGCTCTAGACCAAAACTCACCCGCTATCAAGCAGACAGCTGGTTGTTCAGTTCATAAAAGACAGTAAGTGATATATAATAATATACAATAGAGTTAAGAATAGTCTGTTGTATTGATTTGGGTAGGTTGTATTTTGTGTGTCTGTTGTCGTTTCTGATGTCAAAGTACCAATTGAGAGTTGTTTGGAGAATCGGATTTTGGCATTGTGTTTGGGAATTGTAGTTACCTTAAGCTGGGCATAGACTTTCCCTTGATGAGATTACTGGCTGGCTCTCGGGTTATCATTGAGGCAGATCGTGACAGTTTCTTCTCTCCCGTGTCGAGGCTACGATGATATTCCTAGGCAAATGAAATTAAGTCAATTAGGGATTGGTTGATTTTATCACCATGTAAGCTAACAATAAACTTTAGTAACAACATATGACAGGTGAACGAACAGGTTTCGATAACGTTTGGATAAATTAAGCATTCGATATCTAAGCGGGGTGCTAGGCCTTCAAACGCATAATCAAAGAACGTGTGCTAAAGGCATTTGACAAAAAAGGGTATTGCTATAAAGTTAGTGATAGCTTTCGGCTTACTGCATGTTGCAGTGGATTCTTGCCATTGGCAGAGTTTGTATCGAGCCCTACTTTTTCCAAGTTCTTTTCCGATTTCGAGAACATTTTCGTTTCCACAAATGCCCGTAGATCGGCCATTTTTACACGCTTCTTTTTCTCGCTGCCCCGACGTTCCGAAGTGCTAGGCATGGTCGGAGACTCCTCTGAAAGAAAAGCCGCTAATTATAGTTTTAGAGTGTAATGGAACCGAAATGCTTCTACAGCTCACCAACTACACCGGTCTGCACAGTTGCTGCTGGCTCGGGTATTTCAATGTAATCCTTGACCACAGAGCTGCCCGGACTATCCCGACTGTTGCTGCCCGGACCCTGGTACAGTGAAATCTCGATTTGTGGTATGGGCAGCGAGTTGGAGCGTTTTCGTGGCTGATTCAATGTGATGGCTGCATCCTCGCCAATTTCGCTGAGTCTGCAAAGCAAGCAACTGCATCAACTGGTATATTAAAAGAACAACCGACGCACCTGTTGTAAAGGTACTGTAGGCTCCAGAAGATGCCTTCTTCCTGCCAGTGCGAGATGAAGAGGCATCTGAGTACGGCTACATCCAGAAAGGTGGCAGCCGAGACATCCGCTTTGGCACTCTCAGATTTATCCGTTTCCGATTCCTTTTCAATGGAGGCGCTGCGTTTCTCCTTCATGGAAGCGCCACGCGTCAATTCCTGTTGATCAAACTCAAACTTGGTGGAAGGTGCCTTCTCTTTGTCACGTGAGTTCATTGATTGATGGCTGCCCCGACGGCTTTGCGATTGCTGCTGTTGCTGCTGCTGCTGTAGCAAACTGGCATCAGCCTGAAATGGACTCCAGTTGTGATAGCTAAGGTTAAGTCAATAACTAGACTAAATTGCTTACCGTAAAGAAAGAGTTATCCATGAGCTGCGGTGCGGAGGGCAGCCTAAAGATGACAACACGCTCGTCCTCGACGCTGGAAGCCTCTTCGGGTATGGTCTCTGGGAAAAATTCCTTGGGCGAAGACACCCAGGAGCCCTAGCCAAAGACAACATTAATATATTTGGCAATTAAACTGACAGCGATTAGCTAACCTCCTCATCCTGCGGGCCGTAGTCAGTGAGGCCGCTCTGCGGCGAGTCCGCCTTGGGGGACATGGCGTCGGGTCCCAGGGAATGCTTGCGACCCTGAAACACATCCGTCGAACCCTTTGGCGTGGGTGCGCACAGCAAGTTGCGGGCTTTGGGCTTCACGGGCGCGGTGAAACATGGAGCACCCGGTGCTCGATTGTCCCACATGCCCTGCCACAGTTTAATGCCATTCTCCAGGCGAAAGTTTTGAAAGTCCGATTCTTTGAGATGATGTATGATGGGCGCAAACAGATACACAAAGAGCTGTGAGCAATAATGATTAATAATCAGTATTTAGTATCTGCAGCAATTAAAACTAACCGTTATAGTTGGCACCGAGAACAAATACTGATCCATAGCCTTGGGCTTGGGCTCTGCAGCTTCAGCCAAGCCCAGATCATCGCCTCCTTCGTCATCGGCGCATTCCTCAGCTGCATAGAGTAATATCCATTGCATAGTGTACAGCAGCTTGGTTTCGACCGGCCCAATGGCCTGCATGTCCTTTACGCGGCCTGAAACAATACATTTTGTGGAATACAGTACAGCAGAGCGAAAGCCATTAGAGCTTAGATGTAGAAGAACACGGGGTTAGGACGGGTAATCGTTTCTAGAGCTATATGTGTATAAAAGGTACTTCCGGTGAATCGCTTGACAGCGCTCAGCGTGGGCTGAGCGAACGCGAAGTCTTGTGTATATAAAGTCCACCCACTAAAGTCGGTACAAAATGAGATTTCTTCCAAGTTCCAGAAGAACCTATGCTTAAAGTTACAAATCTTAAGGTTCTGAGATCGACTAGCTCATACATGCGTATGAAAACAGACGATGATGCTGGCCAAGAGAGACTAAGACTGATTTATGGGGTCCGCGATGCTTGCGTCTGCCTGTTACATTCATTTCAAAAATCCAGTTTACCCATTTTTATAAAAACTGCACCAACGAAAGGTGCAATGAATATGAACTCAACCTTCAACAACTAATAGCCCAACTACAAAGCACTGTAGAAATCCTTAGAATAATAGCTAATAATAATAATCAACTTAATGAAAACCAGCTTCAGCTATGTCAGTCTCAGCTGGTGAAGCCAGGATTTGCAAATTCCATTTGGCTATCATACAGGCATTAAAACACTTTTCCTTCCGGTATAAGTTCTTTTCGCGTAACCTAAACAGCAGGACCTGTCTGGACTCTCATTTAACGAAGATACGATGGTTCAGAGAATTTTAATTGAAATTGGGCTGATAACCGTAACGGTTTCGGCAATCTGGATAAAGAGTTTTACCTTGGTTTAGAAAATATATATTACTTGACCAATTATCAGCGATACGAGTTGTGTGCTTTCATAGAGGCACTTAATGGTAGTATCTACTGGGCACGGTAAGATGATTTTAATATTGATAGCGAAGTTTAAAGGCACTACAAACAATGTGAATGATCATTTGAGCTATGAATTTTCAACTTACGAACGGGAAAACCGTTATGATAACAAGTCGTATGAGTATCATGGAGGTTTTTGGTATAAGGAAAAAAAATCAAGGAAGGTAAGTAAAGTACTGGGCAGTACCTTGATCACCTCAGTCAGGACAAATTCTTTTATATAGATAGATGGGATTTGTACAATCTAAAATCGATATTAAAAACTTACAGTAAAGTAAAGCTGCGCAGGCGTGCATGACATGCGGCAGGGCGCCCTGTAGAAGACGCCAACGTGGAATGGCGCCCAGGGCCTTAGTTAACGGCGGGGAGAGGCCGAACTGAATATTCTGGACCAGCACCTTCTCAAAGGACTATGGGTAGTGATAAAAGATAAATGAGTTAAGTGGAGAACGCCGACTATAAAATGGGTTACTAACCTTGCAGGCTTCTTTGGATTCCTGCGTTATGTGCAAGTAAATCAAAGAGATAATATATAAACATAAGTGTACTGATTAGTTCTGTTGAATATATACCGAGTGCTTCAGTTCAACTCAAACCAAGAAACAAGAAAGTAAGATTTAAATATACACAAAGAAACTACAAGAAAAACTATTACAACTGAGCTCAAGGCATGCACAACAACCAAAGGCGCATTTAAATCAACAGATTATATATTTTGAGGTACGTAGAAGTATTATCGTAATATACCTAGTTATAGTTAGATATGTTAGTATTTATGTACATTTATAACATTTATAACTTACATGGTGTCCCGGTGCGTGTTGACAAAACTACATTCAGATTTAGACAAATTGCGAGAGATTTTACAATGTTAATTTGTACAGTTTATTGGTTGTAGTTGTTGTTGTTTTTGATGTTGTTGTTGTTATTGTAAGTTAAAGCATAATATTATTGTCATAATAAGTAGGTTTTATTTGTGTAAGGTGAGCGTGTTAGTAAGTTGTAGAAAAGAAATTGAAAATCGTATGCAAAATGAATACAAATAACCATCAAACATCAAATTCATATTCATGTAGATCGAGTTTTTTTTATCGAACTTAAAGAGCAGTTAAACATAAATCATAATATAAATCAAGATTACATATATATATATATATATTTATGTCATAAATTATATAACAATTTCGTATTTGGTTGTGCCAATGGTACAGTACACACTCCAGTTTCCTTACAAACAAACACGCATAGCGAATTTACAGCACAATTTAGTTTAATTTTATCTTCTTCTGTATCTTTATTATTTATATACCCTTGCAGCTTTTCTCACGCTTCTCACACACATTCTTGACTTAGCTCGGTGTTTATTGTCCGATTATTATGAAATTGTGAGGGATCCAATATAGTTTACAAATCTCTGTTTACATCAAATAGCAAGGATCTACGTATTAAAGTGACAGGCTCTTTTTCATTTGGGGCTGTCCAAAAAGTTAAATATTTATAATCTGTGTATAATATATACGCGAATTTACATAATGGTTCATCTAGCTGATGTAATTTACGAACCTTTCTAAGAAACTAGTTCGCAAAATCGATATTTGTCGATTTTATGACAGGACAAGTCTTTATATTACACAATTTTCTATCTTTTCCAATTAAGTATGTAGTAATCTGTTGTCGGCTACAATATTCTAATTTGTGTTGTGGGGCAAACTGAGTAAAAGTTATCAAGAATCAAACCAACTTCTTTTAGGAAAAAACTATTTTTTTACTCATGTTATATTTGAGCCAAACTGGAAGTCGGACAACTATAGCATACTTATAATTCCTATACAAAAATGTGCTCTGATAACTTTTAACTGCAAGGGTATACTATCTTCGGCTAACCAAAGGTAATTTATCTTGTTAGCTTTTTGATTGTAAATAAGTTAATTTTTATATATTTTCTGTTGGAGTTGGCAGCTCCAGTGCAGGTTTGGTATTTCCGTTAAGATTTATGTTAACCAATGGCCAAGCTTTGCTTTTTGTTGGGCAATTTTTTATTCTTTTTTTTTTTTTGGCTGACAAACTTACCATGCAGCTGGCCTCATGCAGTTTGCCCAGTCGCGGCCTTATAAAGGGCGCTATTTGGCGCCAGAGGAATGTCTGCACGGATACGGGCAAACCCAGATCCTGGAGGCCATCGTCCTGGTCAATGTCAAAGTCATCGTTGTTATTGTTTGGCGTTGAGCTGTTGTTGTTCGCCTGCAGGTTGTTATTGTTGGTTGTCGCATTGGTCACCATGGTGGCCAGCTGGAAAGCAAGGACATAGACGATTCAGCGGCATGCAACTGTTGAATGTGTCGGGTCATTCATAAAAAATGGTGGCTTGCCACGGCATTAGCATGTCTGTCGCAGCAACAAGTATTTGCGTGCGCAGGCTCAACAAGAGACCTCCTTCCTACCCTACTTGGCGGCTGGGGGTGTCTAGGTCAGTGCCAAAACAAAATCTCAACAGCCCCTGCCGCTCACATCTCGCAGCTGTGCTTTGAGCAGGGGTGGGGAAGGGGTGCACCCAGCTGCTTCTTGAAGGCTGCGCAGAACGCAGACTCCGCAGCTTCGCGTCGTCTGAGTTATAGATACAGAATTGGACATTTTTTCGGTATACATGCTAATTTTTCGGGGCAGCATGCGAAAAAATTTTCACAGCTTTTCACTTATATAACAGTTTTGTCAATTTTGTAGCTTTCACTTTGCTGCCAAATTGACAATTGTCAAACATTTAACACGCACTCAAATCAAACGCTGAATTTATACATTTATGTCCAACAATTTGTTCGAATTGCGACCGCACCCAGTGGACGGATTGTTTAGGCAAAGGGCTTGGCAAGAGCTCTGCACCAGTCGGACGCGACTTGGACTGGATATAATTGCTTGCTGTATTGTTGCGCCTTGTATTTTGTTTGATTTTAATGAGTGTCAGTTATACATTTTCAGCTTCAACTTTTCTTTTTTCTTTGTTCTTTTTTTTTTTTACCTTAATTTGCGCGTTGCCAGTGTCGATAACGTTTACGGCTGAAGCGTTCGGATGCAACTGGGACAAAGCGTCGCCTCGTTAATGGTCGAGCTGTTCACATCGTCGTTATCCTTCTCGTTGTTCGTCGTTGCCAGCGACAGGAGCAGCAGCAGCGCACGCCTGCGGTGCGTATACACAGCCAAAACACAAACACACAGACTCATATTAAGCATACGCACTGCCACCCCCATAAAGGGCTGTTCTATATATACAGATATATAAGGGGTGCTTTCTCTCTAGCTGCACCAAAGCAACAGCCTCTGCTTTTGCTTGCTCACCCTGTACATTTGGCGCACTTATCAATGATAACAAGCAACCGCTGCCTGTGTGTGAGGGTTGAAAATTGCGTATACGCCGCGTGTGCTGCATTATATATGGGGTCCTGTGAGCTTATCGTTATTGAGCTGTTGTGTGTGTGTTTGGATGTTTGCTAAAATAACAAAAGGCAGCTTAAAGTGCTAACCATAAAATGTATTGCACATAGATACCCATCAAGTATACATTTTCCCCCAGCTGCAAATAAACACGTCTCTATTATGGCAAATACGCTTAAATACCTAAAAGCAAGGATAAATTTCTAATAGTTATATTTCTAATAATTATATAATTATAGAAACTCTAGCTATTTTGCGGCTTTATATATTTACTTTAGGTATAGGCAAAAATAGATAGCTTTCCTTGATAAAATTCAAAGTTAGTTTCTAAGATGGTACTTTCCAAGAAAGACTCGAATTCCAGTCTAATGTTTGTATAGAGCATTATCTGAACCAAGGTCTCTTGATGTCGATGGTATTTAAAGCAGTTATTAGTTATTCGTAATTGTAATTGTAATATAATATTACAACTTATATTACTAATAGTTAAAAGACTGCAGAATACTTATATTCCTTTGAACTTATCCACATGTATAACAAAATACCTTTTTTAAAAGTATTTTCAATGGGTACAGGGTATTTAAATATACTAGGTAAGCCTTATTTTATTTTATTTTTTAAAACTCTCGGCAGTAATGCTTTTGAGCATGTTTCCCAGTCGAATCTTTATCAATGAGTTGCGCAATTGCCACTGCGCAGAGTTCGCCCATTGTGCCAGCTTCTGCTTTGGGAGTTTGCTAACAGCTGCTTCATGCAAGCCAGTCCAATTGACATGCACCAATTGCTGTGTCTGTAGTCATCTGCTCACTGCCTCCCCCTCAGCAACAGGTTGTTGCGATGTGTGAGGCTGCGCAGGTTTGGCGAGAGATGAGTTGAGCGATTCGGCTTGAACAGCTGAGCCGCTGAGCCGCAACTGGGTCAAAGTAGGACCCACTCTTCAAGCCGACGTGCCCAACAAAGGCTGATGTCAAGGACAAGGACAGCAGTTAGCAGTTTTGCCGGCTGCCGCTGGCAAAGCTAAATTCAATTTGTTTTAATTGCCTAACTACAATTTATGCCTTTTAAGTGCCCCGTTTCTAAAAGCTATATATATCCATATAAATATGTATATATTTTTATGTGCATGTGTATATAGGAACAGTCGCAATATGCGTTGTAGATGAATGCTCTGAATACGTTTGGTGTATCTGTGTCATAGTTTTTATAAATAGCACACATTCAAAATTGTTGTAGACACAAATACAATTGGATGCCTAGTAATACGCCTTCTATGTAGATGAGAGTCAACGGTTTTGAGAATGTGCGAGTGAGAGAGCTACACAGGAATAGCTTCAGATTCGAAAAATAAAAACAAAAATTTTAAACAAATTACGTATTTTCAAAGCTATTCAGGTGTTTTTTAGGCATAAAATCAGCCGGCAGCCAAAACATTTTGAATGATAACATGCGAATCGTTCTCATGAAAAATTTCTATAAAATGCGTTGCCAAATATACGATCAGGGTCGCCAGATACTAAATTCTATATAAACATATGTGCATGGGTAAAGATACAAAATATATATACATATAGTTTTATATGTTGTATATAAAATCGATGCGTAGTGGTTGCCCCCCATTGGCATAAAAACAATAAACCCCCACAGAAAATATTATCTGCAAATTCATGTGTAACATCAAATGATATTCAACACTATGCGGCTGAGCATGCCACAACTGATTATTATTTTGCAGGCACATATAGGAAAAATCACAACAAAAAAAAAACACTAGATATATATCTTAAAAATAGATTCAACTAGAGAGTCCAAGAAACAGAGAAAGAGAGAGGGAGAGAGCGAGAAAAAGAGGGAGAGCGAGATCAAGAGAGTACGCGAGGGCATTTGAAAATGTTGCCCAGATGAAAGTAAATTCTTTGCCAGCATGTTTCTATATATCTAAAGATCTATATAGATGTGTGTTCTGCCACAGCCTTGCGTAGGAAAAACGTCTGAGCATTTCATCTATGTTCATTTATACGTCTGTGTGTGTGTGAGTGTGTGTGTGTGTGTGCATTGCTGCTATCTTTATCTGTGTGCGAGTTGGTCAGACTCGTCGCTGGGTATCACCTCAGAATTACCTTGCCGTACTGCCACTGACGAATAGCGTTCAGTCGAGACCGAGCTCATCCGCGATACAGTTGCTTTTCGCATTCAATAGACAAAATGGTGAGTGCTGCCGCCGCACATTGGGTTGGCAAAGACTTTGAATTTTCCAAGCCCACTAAATATATAAAATATATAAAATGTGAACAGCTATTAAATTAAAAAGAAAAATCAAAAATAATACTCTTTTTTCTACCATTCAAACAACAGGCTGATGTTCCAAAGCGTGAAGTTGAAAGTAAGTTGAAAATCAACGCACAAAGAAAAAAAAAGGATTATAACCTCAAATTAAATCAAACAAAATACACACATACCACCGGAAACATAGTTGAATAATGTTGCCGCCGAGGACTACAAAAGCTGTAATCAAAATAACCCAACACCATTAAAACACTTCTATATCAAAAATGATCAAGTACAGCATTGTGATTGTATTTTAACAAAGTGATTACATAATGTGCGCGCGTGTTATACTTATATATATATATATATAAAGAGAAAAGAATATCTACATATAAATAGAGCCCCATGATATGCGTGGGTATACAGCATATATACGAAAAGAATATGCCTCATATAAAGGAAAAGATATTTCGTAATCTTTGCAAATATGTGTAGATATTTAAAAATTATAACAAGTTATTTCAATGAAATTCTTTTCATTATCTAGTGGAAGGATTGTGAAAATGAAACGAAAAAAACTAAAATCTATCTAACTAAAATACGAACACAATGAAAAATTGTTGTGTATATGTAGATGTGTTTATTGAGAGGAGAGCACGATCTAATTTTGGCCAAGTTATTTCTACGGATTTATTTTCGTTGAAACGCACTGCCAAAGAGCGTGTGTGCGTGTGTGTGTGTGTGTGTGTGTGTGTGCGTCCCTGCCTGTGTATGCGTGTGATAGTTGTACAAACGAAGGCGTTCGGGTGTCGGATTACGTATACGTATATGTATGCTCTTCGTGTTGGCAACGCTCCCACGCGTATACACACACACACATACACACACAGACTCGCGCACACGTAACCAATGCGCCGCCATGTCAAGATTTTGGTGATGACCAAAAATGTGCGTACCCTAAATTTCAGGGTTATTGAATTGACCTCAATCAACAGTATTCAACTATTTATTTTCAATAAACATTAAATCGATCAATAAATGAAATGGAAAAGTTATCGAGTTGCCTGTTAATTGCAAGCGATTTAATTTTGGAAATGTTTTTGCACAGATGTCGAATTCGTTTTCGAAGTTATGGGCTCACCCGGTGAGGGCATTGATGCCTTCGATCTAGGCGATGCTCTGCGCGCTCTGAACTTGAACCCCACCCTGGCTCTGATCGAGAAAATGGGTGGCACCAAGAAGCGCAACGAGAAGAAGATCAAATTGGACGAATTCCTGCCCATCTACTCGCAAGTGAAGAAGGAGAAGGAGCAGGGCTGCTATGAGGATTTCATTGAGTGCTTGAAGCTGTACGACAAGGAGGAGAACGGCACCATGCTGCTCGCTGAATTGCAGCACGCTCTGCTGGCACTTGGTGAGTGGCTTAACAAAAGAAAATCACACACTCAATACGTCTATCGTATATGTATAATAATTAATTATGTGTTTACCAACAGGTGAGTCCCTGGATGATGAACAAGTGGAGAATCTGTTCGCCGACTGCATGGATCCCGAGGATGATGAGGGCTTCATCCCCTATTCTCGTAAGTATCGCTCAGCTAATTCATTAGCAATGCGGAGTGATGTGATGTGTTTTGTCAATTTGTATATGTGCTACATAATGTTATTTGTACTTATTTTTTTACATGCACCTCTTGTCTACGCACACACTTGTTACCCAATCACTCAATCAATCAATTAAACTGCACCTTGCACACTCCTCCACACACACGCAACTGTGTTCAATCCGTCAATTCGTCAATCTGTCAATCAATGTTCTGTGTAACCCACGCACCCTGCACCACGCATCGCGCACCACGCACATGGCGTATCTATCTCGCCCTCGCTCTCTGTCTCTCTCTGTGTCGTGATTGATCCCATCCAATAGAGTTCATCCAGCGCTTGATGAGCGATCCCGTGGTCTTCGACTAAACAGTAAGTGTTGTCGTCTTGTCTACCTGTCTATGTAGTCGCTGTCTCTGATATCTTTTATTTATATGTAAATTATATATGTGTTAATAATAATCTTTTGCTTTCCGCCCACCTTATAGCATTCCTTGCAAGAATGTGTGACAGACCAGATGCGCTATAAATAAATAAATAACAACAACAACAACAACAACAACAAGAACACCAAACAACAAATTTATAGCAAACAGCCATTCTCCATAGATGTTATATTCATCGCTAACTCTCTCTATCTCTCTCTCGTATATTATTTTAATTAAATTTTACTTCTGCTACTACAACTGCAAAATTGAACTTCAAGATAATATTATTTTTTAAAAAATAAAAAAAAATTTAAATTATAAAAATAACGAAAACAAAAGAAAAAAAAAAACTGAAAAAAATAAGTTTCGTGCCAATTATTTTTGTTTTGTTCATGAATTTTTCATTTTTAAGTTTTAAGTGCAATCCCAAAATTTATTTTATTTATTTTGAAAGACGCAAATAAACCAAGTAGCAAAAGATTTGCTCGTGTTGCAACTTCAATCGGATCCTGAATAAAATATGGCATTAGGATGTGTATAAAGAATCCAGCAGACCGTTTATCTATTTATCTAACGGTCCACATGCGTAGACAAATTTGTTGCAACCGGGCGTAGTATACTAAATTTAGTAAGTCATTTGAGAAAACTTACCAAAACAAATCTGCTAATTACATATGAAATAATTTCGCCTGGATTTCATAATTTTGTTTGTGCTCTAGTTTAGTTTTACTTACTTATCCATGAACGTTTTCCGTTCATGCTAATCTTGCGTTTAGAATCTTGAAGCTGTAGAATAAACATATGTTTATTTGACCCTTTGAGCCGATCGGATGTGAAGAGAAAATCTTAAATGAATACCTCCCTTTTTCGCTAATTAATCACTGTTGTAGGTGGAATTTCCCAAATTGCTGAAACACGTATTCATGAAGTTCTTATTTAGAGCTTTGAAAATCTGTTTGAAGCAAATCGGACAAAACTTAGATCTTAGCCCAAAATATCTTTGAATCGCATTTTTCGCCGAGAAGACTTGGCTTCTGCGAAAGGTATGAAGCAAGTCTAAAATGATTATTCCCATAGATCTTTGAAAATAAATTTTTACGTCTGTGTCGATTTCAGAGGCAAATGTATTTAAATCAGCACAATTTTACGAAGTCGGTAATAATCGATATCAATATACCATGCCATTATTTGCTAAGCCTCTTCACTTATAGCTGGAGGCAACATATTTAATGTAGGCTCTCACGTAGTGTACAATGACTGAGAATGATTCACTTTTTGAATAGCTGCCACTGTCGCCACACAAATTTGCAAAAGCCCATATTTTTGGCTGCTTTATACCTTTCGTTTCCTTTTGGTTCCTCAACTTCGGGAGTAGTGGTCCAAGTGGCATTTGCAATTGACTCGACCAGCTAAGCGCGCCACATCTGTAGCTGGTTTTAAATAAAGTTCAGCTAGTCTACATGTATATATATCCTCAGGCATCCAGCCATGCTTGAGATTGTCATCGTACTTGCAACTGCCTTAAATTCAAAATTGCAGCGTATCGTATTTCATATTACAAATCGATTCTACATTCCTTGAGCTCTGATAGCATCCAATAATTACCTCAATATGGCAATTATGTGCAGTGAAAATATGCTGGAATCTTGGAAATAAATTAAATAATATTATAATATATTATTATATCATATGTGAATAAAAGAAATACTTTTAATTTTAAGTCTTTAGATTCTGTCAACAGCAACAGCACAAACTCGGCAACAGATGGCGCTGCAACAGCAAAGCTACTGTTAGAAAAAGCTCTGCTGCTTTACCCCTGCGCGTGTACTAAAAAGCTTTAACGCAGCTTGCGCGTCTGCCGAGCACGTTAATTAGGAATTTCGACGAACTGAAAATCAGTTGAAAACGAGATAACAAACCCAAAAGATACAAAGCGCAACGCTTAACGCTTGAAAATTGCATTAACAAATAAAATTCAATAAAAAAATATAAAAATAAAGCCGGAAAAAGGCAAGTGCAAGTGAGCAGAAGAAGAAAAAGCAAAAAAGTGAAAAAAGCTAAAAACTAAATATTGTCAGCATTATTATATTAAAATACAACCAAATTTCTTTTAGACCGATTTGTGCAGCGCAAAAGGCAACTAAGGCATTCCAAAAGTAACCAAAGTGAGTTGTGAAAAATAAAGTAAAAAGTGTATGCCTAAGAAAAGTCAATTGAAAAACGAGTACACACAACGAGCAAAAAGTTAAAACCCACATAAAAGTCCTGTTCTGAGTGCAGCACACACACACACACACACCCCCACAGGCTCTTTCAATATGGCGGATGTCATGGAGAAAAGCTCGGTGCTGGAAGCTGCGGCGCCCACATTGGTCGATCCGCGCCCAATGCAGCCTGTGCAGGCGCAGCTGCATCAGGAAGCGCAGCTACAGCAACAACAGCAGCAGCAGCTGCAACAACAACAACAACAACAACAACAACTGCAGCAGCAACAGCAACAACAGCAGCAGCAGCAGCCACAACAACTAAAAACGGAGCCGGCTCAAGCCGCCCGCGCTGGACAGGAGCAAAAAGGTAAGGGTTAGCAATTTCACATTACGCATACGCCACGTTAACATGCTGAAAATCAATTAATATCAGCTATGACTGCATTTGATATACTATATATGCGTATATAACTATCGCTCAATTAGCCAAAGTGTGGCGCACCCCAGGACTTTGATGGTTATATTAGCTTAACATGCACCATCCACAACCACCGCGCACCATCAACAGCTCACGTCATTTTGTGTACGACTTGCGCCTCTCAGCGGTTATGCAAATAGATTTGTTTTGCTTGTATACCCTTGCAGTGGGTATCATGATTTCGCCACGAAATGTGTAACGCATGTGGCAGAGAACTGCAAGCTCATATATATGTATGATGATACTAATCAAGTATATAAATATAAGATGATATATCGTATGATTTGATATATATACTTGATCAATCATGTATCATACCAAATACCCACAAAGACATTATATGATTAGATTCATCAGATGCTTTCAGCCAAGGGGGCAATCCCTTGCTTCTAACGTCACATTGACAACATTTGACAACTTTAATTCAAAGCATCAATAAAAAGAAGCCTTCGATGTCTGGAACCATATCGTATATAGGGAACTTGGCAGGAAGGGTACTTAATCTTCTCCCAGCATGAATGAAAATTTTCCTTTTTGTTGTTTGCACAACTGTCGAGCGGGTTGAAAGAGTTGTTTGTGCTTATCATGAGCGTCTGAAGAGCTGCGTTCACATTTAAGCCAGCCACAGGATGTTGCGCCATTGTCGAGCTAACGTTGCATAGGCGCAACGACCTGCAGCCGGCTGCTGCATGCCACAATTGCACTTACCAACCAAGCGTCCGTTTAAATTGTGCGCAGCCCCTGACATAAATCTAACGGCCTTTGTATCTATGATAAAAGCTATCAGCAACTTGAGTTGCGGCTGCTGCAACTGCACCTGCCCCCTGTTCCTAGCCCTGTTCCTGCCCCTGCCCCTGCCGCTGCCCCAGCTCTTGCCTCTACTGCCGGTGCTTGTGGTCGCTTTGCATATGACCTCGTTTCAATTAATCTAAATACCTTTTAGCGATGGTATCTTAACTTTGTCATTCTGCTAGTCACATGTGTTTGTTTTAATCTCTGATTAAATGAAATAGCAGACTTGTTTACATTTGATTAAAATGTGACCTGAAAACGAAAATTAAATTAAACTTATTTAAATTAAAATTATTAATGAAACAGTGATTTGCCTAAGCAATATGTGTGTTGGAATGGATGGAATTAAGAATATATGCATATAGTTAATTGGCTCTAGACTTGTTCAATGGGTTCAGGGTATACAAATGTTTGTTTTGTTTGGCACACTCACACAAACACACACACACACACACACACACTCGAATTCGTACTTGTACACCCCTGCCGCTGATTAAATCAAATGCTCAACTTAAGTGCAAACCGGCTCTGGTAAATAATGACAACAACAACAACGATAATAAAAACAACAGAAGTTGCTATTGTTTTGTGCGCTTTTACCTTAGTGCTAAATAACATAAACTAGCAGCAAAAACAAAGAGGCAAAAATAGAAATAAATATAGTTTTTGATTGCTATCAGTGATCTCCTTCTCTCATTCTCACTTATTCATTCATTCATTTACTCAGCTGAGCTGCTGACCTGCTCTGCTGTCATTCACATGAAGTCATCGTCGACGTCGACGTCGACGTCAGCGTCACCTAGTTCTGTCCCAGCTATTAGTTCAAAGCAATGTCTATATAATAATAATAATATAAGTATATATACTATATGGTTGCAAATATGCATGTGCCGTTTAATACCCTTGCAGAGGGTATTATAATTTTCTCAGGAAATGGCTAGCACGTTGAAGGAAACCCTTTGTATAGGGCATATATTCCTGATCGGTATCAAGTGACTTTGTAAACTAATCTCATTTAGAAAACTAACTAATCGTCTAACTTTCCCTTACGCAACCCTGATAACAATTGTTATATGAAGCTAAACTGTCTATTTGCAATGGAATAGATAAGTTCCACTTCACTTTTCTCTATGGGATTGTGGAACTTGAAATCACCTGTGTAAAGGTACATATTCTGATCATTTATTAGTTTGAATACGCTTTAAATCAGACCAAAACCTTTTTTATGTTTTTTTTTTAAGATACCTTCAGCAAGCTTATCAATTACGAGCTTTGGCATGCTTGTGCATTTGACTACTTAATCATATAACTAAATGGGAAAAATCCGTTAAAAATTAGTTGAATAGAAACATATTGCGTTTGAAAAAATCTCTAGCTTTACCTCATCGGATAAATTTATTATATATTTCCTTTGAGAACAATAGATCGGAAGCAAGGGTATTCCATCTGCGGCGTGCCTTTCCTTCTTGTTAACTTCATGACGCAATTGTAAGCTCTCTGGCGATAACTGTTAATCGTCTGGTCAGAGAGCTCTTCTACTTTATAAATAGACAACTGTCACCCACTCTTAAGTATTTGTTTTTAATTAACACAATTAACCAGCCAGCTGAACGACAATTTCTCATTTGCATGCGGCTTTTCACCGATGCATTTGTTTTGTCTTTGCATTTTTTTTTTCTCTTTTTTCATTGGTCGCTTTATTGGGGCCGTGCTAGTTTTTCCGTTTCTTTAGACAAAAAGAAAGAAAAAAAAAAAACAGTGAGTGAAACCGACTGCTTCATACTCTGCATATTG